ATGGAGGCCAAAGGTCAGTGTCACATGTCTTCCTCGATCTCTTTTCCCCTTGTTTTTTGAGAGAGGTCCTCACCCTGACTCTAGAGTTTACCAATTCAGTCAGACTAGATGGCCAGAAAGCCCAGGGAATCCTCCTGCTTCCCCTTCTCCAGCACTGAGATTACAGGCACACACTGCTGCACTGGACTTTTTACACGGGTGCTGGGGATCAAACTCAGGTCCTCATGTTTACACAACAAGAACCTTACCAAGTGAACTATCACTCCAGTTCCAACCATAAATATTCTTACAAATGTCCAAAATACCTGTACAGACCATGACTGTCCCCTCCAAGAATCACTGATAGAGCAGAGGGACTTTTTATAATGAAGCACTGGGATAATTTGCTTTTTACTTCTACACTGAATCAATCTTTATAGATTAGGAAGGTAAACTGTCCAGTTAGGATAAACCTGCCAATCCAAAAAGATGTAGAAACTGTTCCTTGAGAACAAGAAGGTGTTTATTGTGTAAAATCCTTCTACTCCCTGCTTCATGTTGCCCTCTCTAGATTAGGAAATTGGGGTTTTGAGAAGCAGAGAGAAGTCTGCAGTGCAAACGAGGGGATTTTGATAAAAGTATCATCGTGGTAGAGGAAAGATCAGTTCCTGACTGACAAAACTGTGTTTATCTGTTCAACATGGTTTTCCTGCAGCTGCTCTTTTTATTAGCCTAAAATTTAACCTTTTATGTTGATGAAGGAATAATTTAATGGCCTGGTGGTCTTATTTGATGTAATAAAAAAATACCACTCTTCCCCTAATATATATTTTTATTTTTAAATATTTTATTATTTTTATTATATGTGTATGAATGTGTTGCCTGCATGTATGTAAATGCACTCATGTCATGCAATGCCTACAGAGATCGGAAGAGGGTGTCAGATCCCCTAGAACTGGAGTTATGGATAGGACAGTTGTTGTCGCCAAGTGGGTTCTGGGAACCAAACCCAGGTTCTCTGCAAGAGCAGCCAATGCTCTTAAGCACTGAGCCATCTCTCCAGCCCCCCAATATATATTTTATGTGTATGTGTGAGTGCCTGAATGTGTACCACATGGGTTCAGGTGCCCGAGGAGGCCAGAGGAGGGTGTAGCATCCCCTGGAACTAGAGATATAGGCATTTATGTGCCACCTGATGTGGGTGCTAGGAACCAAATCCAGGTCCTCTGCAAGAACCACCACTAAGCTGCCTCTCCTGCCCCTACCCCTTAATGTATTTTTAAAGTGTTAAAAAAAAAAAAAAAAACTGCTCTCCAAAAAATGCCACTCACTGAACACTATTGTGGGCATATTTCATATTAACAATATTTTCTTTCTTAAAATATATTTTATTTAATATTTTTATTTTATGTGTATGAGTGTATTGCCTGCATGTAGGCAAGTGCAACTGTGTTGTACAATGCAGGTGGAGGACAGAAGAGGCTGTGGGATCCCTTGGAACTGGAGTTACAGACAGTTGTTAGCTGCCTGTGGGTGCTGGAATTTGAACCCGGGTCTTCTGCAAGAACAACCAGTGTTCTTAACCACTGAGCCATCTCTCCAGCCCTTAATTTGACAATATTTTCAATGAACTTTCTCCTGAATTTTCTCAAATGATCTCTGAACATATACCTGAAATGTTCACATGTGCAAACCAAGATTGGCATGCAATTATGCAACTTCCAAGTGCTATTTTTTAATTATTAAAAATATATTTCCAGGGATGGGGAGATGGTTCAAATGGTAAAATGCTTGCTTTGCAAGCACAGGCTGTGAGTTCAATCCCCAGAACCCACATAAGAAAGCCAAGTGTGTTGGTATGTGCTTGTAATCTCAATCCTGAAGAGGCAAACAGGAGGATTCCTGGAACTCACTGACCAGCCAGCTTATACTACTTGGTGAATTCCAGGGCCAATGCGAAACCTATCTCCAAAAAAAGAGTGGATAGTACCTGAGATTATCCTCGGCCCTCTACGTGAACACATATACATATACAGGCACAAAATCCACTACTGAAAATTAAGAATTGTTTATAATTTTCATTTTATATTTTACTTATGTAATTTGTGTGCATGTATGCACATGCACATGCCACAGCACACATGCGGAGGTCAGAGGACAACGGCAGTCATTTCTCTCCTCCTACCACGTGGGTCCCGGAGATTAAACTCAGGTCGTCAGGCTTGGTGGCAAGCACCTTACCTGAGCCATCTCACCAGTCCAAGAAGTACATTTTTATATAAACTATTCATTTTATCATTTCTTAGTTTATAGAGAATTCTTTCACACCCTAATCTCTGTAGTTTAGTTGGTAATCTACCTTGCTTACTAGTAATTTTTCCTAGAACCTTTCCTTCTTCTGGCAGAAGCATGTTATCATTATTTACCCCTTTATTTGCAAGAGTAAATATGGAGAACTAGTGCAGTTACTCGGTAATATTTTTGGACATTGTTCTTTTCCACACAGCACTACTCAAGCAAAGAGTTGTCATAAGCTGAAAGTAAAAAGATTTTGGAAGTGGTTTTATCACCAGGGAAATTTGTTCATCCTTCAGAAAGATTGTCACCAGGAAAACAGGAATAAAGGAGTTTAAATTGCTTGAAACCATTGACTCCCAAGTCCCTCCAGATTCATAGAAGGAATTGATTTCCAAGGAGTGGGAGGAATCATGAGAGAAACTCCCTGAGAAAGCTTACAAATTGATCATTGCCTGGATAACACTAGTAGGTGTAAGTGTGATCTCTATGGGGGAAATGGCAAATGTGGCTAGAAGCTTGGGAAAATGGAAATGGAAGGAAAAGAGCAACACTTTCTTTTGGGAGGGTTGCTTATTGCATTTGGGCATAGACATTGCCATGTATTATGCATCTTAGAATGGCCTTTTAAAGGGGAGAAATACTAATGTTCTTAAATATTCTTTCATAGTAAGTCCAATTTAATAGATATTGCTGAACTGAAAATAAGGTTGTGAACACTATTGAAATAGAGGCAGACATTTCATAAACCTATCCAGAAATTCAGCCTCCTGAATATTACTCACAAAATTTTATTTGAAGTCAGCATGTCTGAGGATGTCTAGAACTGTGTATTTGTTTGGAGAATATAAATACCTCAAAATTCAAAGGAATCCTTTAAGGGCATCATTTAGATAAATCAGTAAAATTTACAATAATAATATCAGGACATTCCATATGTTTTAAAGAACTTCAATTTTTACACACCTACTCAAGAAGTCAGACCCTTTTTTCTAAGAATTCTGTTGAGAATCCTCAGAACTCAGTCAGGCCCTTCAGGATTTACCAGTAAAACCTACTTTGATCCATCCCTTCCATGAATAAATTGAATTTTGCCAGAAATGCCTCAGCAAACAGAGAAAAGACCTCATTTTTTAGTCTGAATACAGTAGTGTTGGAGGATATTTCTCAAGAGTATGACTTCAATATTGGATCTTAGTTCCAAGTGCAGGTTCATAGGGCCAATCTGCAAAGGGGAGATCAGAACATCCTTGTGAGGGCACCTGTGAAGAGATGGCCTCTGGAGAAGGGACAGCTCCCACAGCCAAGTCACATGCACAGTCTGTAGATTTCTGCTCTCTGGCCAACTGAGTGCAGCCAGAGCATCCTTATTGTTGTAACTCCCAGATTGTGATACTGTTACAAAACTGTTGCTAGGCAACAAATGTGGTTACCAGGTCTCAGCGAATAGCTGAAGGGGGAAGGCAAAGTGTAGCACCATTGTAGAGTAACCATAGCAATGACCTACTATTACAGACTAAAGAATTATCATTAACAATGTTAAAGTATCAGAGGCCCTGAATTCGGAGACTTCCAAGCAGTATCTCAGCATAATTGAGTGATCTAGGAGGGGATTTCAGCTGTTTTCAAAGCTATTCCTTCATTATTTTTATGTACGAGTATATCTAATTATTTTCGAATTTAAAATTTCACTTATGAAGCTATTGGTTAAATTGTATATGCTATCACAAACAGTTTTAAAAATTCAGATTAATCGATCTTCATGTATTCTCATGCCTACCTACATCAGTGTTATTTGCTGCCTCTGTCAACTGAAGGTACATTTGATCTGAAGAAGAGTATCCAATATTATTAAACCCAAGTCACAGAAACAAGCTGTAGTAAAAATAACCCTATAAATAGAAAAAGCCTGCCTTGTCTATGAATTTCTCTTGACAAAATAGGAGGCCAAATGCTCTTTTAAATGCTTTGGAGCGGTTTTCCCCTAGCTTTTCGAGATCTGCCCTCCTAAAATCTGTAAAAATGTAGCCTGCTAAGATACTTTAAGGCATTAGCCTCTTTTTGAACCTGGCCCTTCATTAAACATCTCCTGTGATTTGATCCCAGTGACCTCGCTGAGGCAATCATGTCCAACATCACTGATTGGGACAGGCAAGAAAAAGAATCTATTCCTCCCCAACCCCCAACTCCCTGGGAGGCAAAGACACTTGGGCGCTAGGGGGTGGGGGTGGTGGTAGCCGGATCCCGGACGCTGGGGAAACCAGTCCCTGGGCTGGGGAAGTAGGTGGTTTCTAGGCGAGAGAGGGAGTGGCCCTTCCTGCGGAGCTCCTGGATTGGTCCGGAGGGGCTCAGGCCCCTGCGGACTCCGAGCCACCTCGTGAGCGACCGGCGGGCTTATCCGGGCGGAGTCCCGGGGGTGGCAGGGACTCGCGCGGGAGGCGGTGCGCCTGGGGTTTGACAGGATGGTGGGTCCTTGAGCCCGGGGGCGCCGAGCTCGCCCTACTGCAGGTGCGCTCGGTGGGGCGGGGCTCGGGACTCAGATGGGCGCGGGGCGGGGCGGGGCTTCGGGCTGGGGGTGTGCGGGGCCGGACGGGGCTCAGTACTGGGATGGGCGCGGGGTGGGGCGTGGGGCCCGGACTGAGAGCCCCACAGCTCGGGGCCTCAGGTGGCCCAGCCGTGGCCGTCCGCGCTCGCTGCCACCTCATAGCCCGTGTGTGTCTCCGCAGGCACCGACCGTCACGAGCTAACTTCCTGGAAGAGCTTCCCGTCGATCTTCAAGTTCTTTACCGAAGCCTCGGAGGCCAAGAGCAGCTCGCAGAAGCCGGCGCTGACGCGGCGCTCGCACCGCATCAAGCACGAGGAGCTATGAGCGCAGCGCGTCCGCACCCCGAGCGCCCCGCGCAGCCTCCGGCCCCTCATTAGATTGTTTTTCTTCCTCGAGTCCAGGGTCGTGATATGTACATCTAAATAGCGTTCTGCATTATTTCTAGATGAGTGCAACTGTCAAAGCAATATGGGTTCCGCGGCCGCGCTTCCTGCAGGCGGAGCGGGCCAGGCCGGCAGATTAAGGCTGACAGCGCCGGGCATCCCGGCCTGAGCTTCTAACTGCGCTGGAAGAGCTGCGGGCTCTGAGGCCTGCGCGGCGTCTGCGCGGTCCTACCGCCCGCTGCTCCGCGGTTGCTGCTGCCTGTCTCAACCGCGTCCACTTCCCCTACTGAACCCAGCAAGCTTTTATTCTAGACTTCTACCCTTCATTTCAACTAGGTTTTCCCCCCGGGGCATCGTATGTCTGTCTGTCTGTCTCTCTGTCTCTGTCTATCTCTCGTTGTTTAGAAAGCCACCACCTCCCTGTACTAGAATAACAAATTTAAATTCAAAACCTGAATGCCATAATGTACTATGTAGTCTGGGGAGTGCAAATTCTCCCTATTTTCATTTCAAGACCAGAAGAAAAACTTTCATAAAAATCCATAAAGCACGAAATACGAATCCTCCTTTCTGCTGAAAATTCTTGCAAGTTTAATGTGACACCTCATGAAGTCTCTGGTTTCAGAAGAAAGTTGAAACCAAAACATAAGCAGATCTTTTAGATGTGAAAGTTTCCATTTTCAGGGAAATTTCCAACTTTCTCATGAGAATTGACTTTACTTTTACATATGTAATGTAGTGAGTGGTATTGTAATTTAGACGATCCACTTAAAGTTTGCTTTTTATATGCTAAGTGGAGATGGTGTATTTGTTACTGTTAATCCTTACTTAAAGGTACTTTAACCTTTCCTGCAGTAAACCCTTTTAAGTATACAACTTATTATCATCAAGAAAATAAAACTGCATACTCCATTTTCCTTCTAACAGCTCAATAGGGTTAAAATGATTCAGTTTTTTTTTTTCTCCACTGGGAAAAGAAAAACTTGGTGTGAATGATTTTTTTCTTTTTAAGTTCAAAATGTTTAGTATTCCACTTCCTATGGAGGGGTTGCCCTCTAATTTCAACAGTTACATATTTTAGTCCAGCTAGGATCTGGCCAGCTGTGAAGGAACTACAAAAGATAAAATAAGTTCACATTTGGTGACTTTCAAATCAAAATATTATAACATCAATTTTAATTACTTGAAGAATTTAATTAATGAAGATTATATCTAAGAGATGAGAGTCTGAATTTAATATTTCCATTCCTTTTTTAAGTATATTCAATAAGTAATATGTCTCCTTTATTTGAGGGCATCATAAAATGTACCCAAAATAATTAGAACTGTCTAGCATCTCAGAAAAATAACCTGCAATCAACAACCTCAAGAGTACATGTTTTTGTACTACAAACTGATTTCAGCAAGTTTTAAATATAATATCTCATGTTGTTTGGCATGCATTCATTAGTTCTGTAGTTTCAGCAAAGGCAAATTAATCTGTTTTCAGTCCTCATGTCCTGGTATCTTCCGATGTTACTTAAGCAGAAACAACTTAGGAGGAAAGCTCAAGGTGGCGTTTTATTTAGCTCCTGGGTGGTTTAAAATGTGTAACCCAACAATGTTAAGACATTCCTTGTGATATTAGCCCTTTTTATCTGATATTTCTGATTTAAAAGGAATGATGAACTCTATAAAATACTGGTATTGTCCCAGTGACAGAATTTGAAGATCAGTGTGAATTGCGTATATTTTTACAAATGTTACAAATTGTGTGGTGTTTTCAGAATATGAAAATGTTCACGGGAAACTAATTTTGTAGCATTGAGAAAAAAAAATCCAAAACTTATTCAATGCTAAATTTATGTAGCTTCTGCACCTGGAGTAAAGCATAGCTCAGCATCTGAAGCGAATGACTCCTGTTCCTTTCCTCCACTTCTCTCACTTCTTTAAAAAAAGAAAACCGTTGTCTAGAGAAAAATCACTGTTTAATTGTCTTTGATACTTTACAATTACTGAATTGTAGCTCTTATTTAACTCTCTATAGAGAGATATTTGCAAACTTGAGTTTTGTAAATGCAACTTCTGAGTGTGAGTCTCAGCTGTACCAACCCAGAGTAATAAGGCAAACCAGAACACCAAGTGATAAATGATTCGATTCCTCATAATATAGGATTTCCTAACCTGTTGATATAAATGTAATGATACTCTTCACCTCAGTTTCCTGAAATGACAAGTACCTGGCAGTACTCCACCGGCTTAGGGGTGGACAGCCTTTATAGTATTTCTGCTCTGGTCTTCCCATTTTGCTTAGAAAGATTTTTAGGTGTGTAGAGGTTTAAAGGGGGGATGTGGGCTTTTTTTTTTTTTTTTTAAATTGTGTTCTTAATTTTTAGAGCAAGTAGAATGAAAAAAAAGTTCTCCAGAGTAGACTGGAGATTCAGAGTAGTCCTTTGGAACTGAAGGGATAGGTAATCGCTGTGAAGCTTTCTAAAGGTACCTAACATGGAGGCCTTGAAAGTCTTCGTGGAAATGTGGAAGAGAGGTCATCTATTGTAAAATTGTTCTTTTTCTCACATTTCTGCTTCCTGGATTACATTTTTGTTTATACGTCAAAGACAAAATAAAGCACAGGAGTTCCTATAATTATTTCTGTTTACCATTTTAAAATAAAGTTTTCCCAACAAGCAACTGCGTATTTTTCCTCCTCCTCAGTTGTTCTATTCACCAATTGCACAAAGGGATTAATAGCTGAAATGTAAAAACTTGATGAGACCACATTTATCAATATTATAAGCCTTATAGCTACTCATTACTGTTGTTATTACTTATTACTATTGTTATTACTATAAGGTAATATCCTAACTTCACATCAGTCACTATTTGTCTCACATCTTTCATAAAGATATTTTTAGTAATTTGTCTTTAATATATAAACATCTACTCAGTAAGGAAATTAGAACAACTTATCATCAAACTATTGTTTTATAAAATACACATTAATGTATAATGAATAAGTACATTTTCCAAAGGAGCCTATGGAGATTAACTTGCTCCCAAACTGCTGGTGGTAGGCCCTTGATGCCCTGTGTCCAATCTGAAACCTGTTTATATTTGTGTTACAGCTATTCCTTCCTTAAAACCTTTAACTCCTTTGAGAGGGTTTCAGAGGGTTTGGGTGACAAACATGTTAGATTATCACTGCTAACAAGCTAGGTTTTTTCATGTTCCTCTAGATTGTCCAGAATTCCAATCTAAACATATCTCTCTCTCTTGTTATACTCATAGTTTTTTCTGTTAACTGGTAGGTTCCTCTTGGGGACTACACTCCTAATTCATTTAAGAAAGATTGCTGTTAAGGAACTTTTACAGTATAAAATTTTACAATGTAAAATTTTAGGGAAAAACTTTTCCATGTCTTCTGGGGAGGGAGTCTTTCAATAAATGTAATACAGTCTCATCTTTGAAAGATCAGTGGCCAAAAGGGGGAGATGATTGTGGTCATTTTATGATTGCTTATTATAAAAGACTTCAAGATGTATTCCATTTCAATAATGTAATACTTTCCTTCCTTCCTTGTATAGACTGACCGAGTGGGAGTCTCTTGAATTGTTCATCTTCCTTTTATCTAATATTCTATTAATCTCCAAAATGATCAGTTTGAGTCTGGGAAAGGGTTTTTAATCAACACTTCACAGAGCTTTAAACTACCCCACCTACCTAAAGCATCAGCTTTGTGGGGTGGTTTTAGATTTAAAGCATTGCAACTGCCATGCACTGTACTAAAATAAAGAATGTACACCAAGTGGAAGATATTGAAAGGGGGGAGATAGCACAAAGTCAATTAAGAGAGATTCAAGAATAGAAACAGTCATCAAAGCACTCCAGCATTTATCTTGAAATCTGCGTAAGGTTTTTTCTTTTTTAATGCAACAATGATAGTTTTAAACCTCACACTTAGAAGGGATGAATGTTTATTTAATTGATTCATTTGGACTGATGTTTTTAGAGTTTCACACCACTGCTTTTTCATGTAGTGTTGTCTTTAGCAGTCAGGAGTCAGACATGAGCCTTCTCAGATTTCATCAATGGGACCCTCCATGATATCTAAAATTAGGCAATAGCCTGAGCAATGGTAACTTTGGAACTGGGAAATCTCAATGCCAACATGGCCGATTACAATGAAGAACTCTTGTTCACTCTCAGCATAAAGGTTTTATAGGAATAATAATGGAAAATGAACTTCAAATGCTAAAGAATTGCTAGATAAGAGAAAGCTGTCCTCAAAGTTCAGCTAATAACTGGATACCAAAGAGTGGCCAGTACTTTCTTTGAATGTGAAAACTTAGAAAATGAAATTTTGTCTTAATCGATGATATCTCTCCTGGCAACTTTTCTCGGTCCTTAGCCTTGAGATTTGTAGAAAACCTTTTACTATATTCTTTGTTAGAATTTCACTCTGTTTAAAACTAGCATGAAACATGTTTCTAGGAAGAAATCTAGAGAGGTCCTGCATGTGTCTTTCCAGATCGTTCAGCTTTTTCTTCCTTGGCTATTACATTGGATATTTAAGGGAAGTTGTCATAGGTAAAATGATATTGAACTGTACTTTGTGGCCAGCCTGGAGTACCAAAACAAAGAATCTGAACTGAAAAGACAACCAACATCCCAAGAATGATATGTCTCTTTTTAAAGTTTACAATTTGAATAATGAACTTGGATAGAAACTTGGCAGGAAAACAAACCATGGCACCATCACATCACCAACCATTTTCACTTTTCTGTCCAATTTCAGAGTGCATGTGTTTGTGAGTATTTCACTAGATCAGTGACAGCTCTTTATTTGCATAATTATATGCTCTGGTCTGAAGAGAAAACTAACCCCCAAATTTCATGGGTCACCAAACTGCAACAATCAATGTTTTATCACGTATGCTAAGCAAAATCTAAGAAGCTATATGAAGTTTCTTGGGGAGTTTCTACTCCCCAGAAAATTAAAAGAGTTTTCCTCTCTTGAATAGATTCAAAATCTTTCCAAGTTCTTTGTAACTGAATTCTGTTTGAAGGCAAAACTAGAGATTAACATGTAGATCTGACCATAGACTTACTAGCATTACTTCAAAGTGGCTTAAGAAGAGCAGCATTTTTTGGTGAATTAAACTTTAAATTTTCAGTACTGTCCTTCATGCTATGAGAAAAAAGTATTGGTCAAATTATGATTTGCCAGAATGAAGTCTGAATTAACTACCATGAATATAAAATGCATTTTCTTGCTTAAAATAACTCAGGGTTTTTTTAGAGACCTAGTAAGAAAAAAAATGTGTGCATATTATATGCACACATATGTATATGTCTCACACTTACATAGCCATTTGCGGGGTACGTATGTCCATTTCTGTGCACTTCACCTGAAATACATAGACAACATATACGATATGTGTAAGTCTATTCAGTGTCTGTAACATAAGTAGGTGCTCAGCATGTACTGCTCTTCATGAAAGTTTGTAAATTTCTCTGTGAAATAAATTTTTCACGTTCAAAATCTTGAAGGCATTGTAATAAATATTTTTAAATGTTTCAAGCTTATTTGCATCTGTAAGTTCTCTATTTGTATGTAATATGTACTTATGTATAAGGTTGACTTGATTTCATTAAAGAAAAACATTTAAACTGCTGATATCTTTAGTTTGTAGGCACTCTGCCAACTTGGAATATAATAGAGCACTCATGCAAACTGATTTTTTTAAGGAGTTATTAAAATCCTGGAGAATGTCTTTACCTGTTTTTTTAAGGAATATACAAGGTGCATGATTACTTTTATAAAAGCACTAGGATGTGACTTTCATTTAAGAGTTTCCTCATCAGACAACACACTGTCATCAAGAAAAAGAAAGCACTTGAGAAAAATTAATTGCATAATTTTGAAGTATTTTATTCTCTGTCTGAAGAATGAGAAGTCTTTTAAGTTAGGTATCAGAAATTTTCTAGAATGTTCCTATTATTTCAAGTGAAAAATCACTTAGTGTCCTAAGTTTTTAACTAAACTTGAATCACAAATGAAAGATCTTTCCTTCTCTACTAATCTGAAAACTTAAACCTCTGCTCATCAAGAATATTCTCCAGTGTCACCACACCTCACCTTTGTCACTGTCCTTACCAGGATGCTCTTCTAGTTACATCCCCTCTGACACCCTCCCCAGAAATTTATATTTAGACTGGAGGCCTTGGGTTCCTCTAGGTGGAAATTCCTCAAAATTCAATCTGTAAAAACAAATAAATCCAAGGTTAGAACTTTATCCAACAAAATGAGTCAAGCTAGAACTAAAGATTTAGGAACTATGTTCTTCTGAATCATTTTAAAAGTATAATCTCCTGTAATAATAATGGACAATATTTATGCTTATTTGCTTGTTCCTTTCTGTTTGATCTTTGTGATAACATTGCTTAGAGTATCAGGTAGAGCTCTCAATTCTACTTTGCCAAGAATGCAGAAAAATCTGTTAGATCCCATTGCATTCCACACCTGAGGGGAAGACCTCAAGGATCTAAGTACCCCCCCAATCACTTTCAGTTGTGTCTGCACAAATACTATCTAATATTTACTCTGTGTCTGAAAAGATTCCCTCTGATCCAGCTCATACTCATGTACCTCCAAATAATTTTTCAGAGGCTTTTCATCTCCTTTTTAAAACCATCCCGAAATAAGTGGCTCTTTCTAATAAATATTTCACTTTCCCTGAATTACATGGATAATCAGGAATTATCAACTGAAATATGTTCATGATTTGTTGTGGTGTTCTGTTGGTGTTTTCTGCACCCCACCCCCATTCCCTTTTGCTTTGCATCAGTAAATTACTTAATATCATCCCCTGGAATAACCAGCTCTAAAAATAACACTAGCACATAGTGTCACAATTTGGCTTTCATGCAGTTTTGAAAGAAAACCATTAAAATTGCATTGATCTCACAAATATTGATCTAGTGCTTGATATCAAATATCAAATGAGATGCTGTCAGATGCTGCTGAGCATTGTGTCAGCTGTTTGAATTCAAGTCCTCTTCTTTCCTCATTGTCACATAGATTCAGGTTGCTGAGGCTAAATAAGGTTTTCATGATTAAAACAATTAAGGTCAATTCTTTCCCTGTTTCCCACATTTCTGATTTACCTGTTTGTCACATCATGTGTGTGTGCTTTACAAGAATGTGGCTCCTTGCTAGGTAGATTATATTTACATTTCTTAACTAAAATTTCAGTAATGCCTACATGAATCCTGACTTCTTTTTGATCACCTGTCTTTTAAGGAGTAAAAACAGTTTTGGGGTTTTGGTCTGGTTTGGTTTGGTTTGGTTTTTTTGTGTGTGTTTGTTTTTTAGTTTTTAAATAACACCGTTGAGAGTATAGCTTTAGAACATAGAATGAATTCTGAACTACGCACTATAGCAGGTGAATTGCTCCTTTTGTTCCTGTTGGCAAAAATGTTATAGTACTTGGCAAACCTATAGTTGAAAGAGTCATTTAGATGATTATATATGTATATAACTTTCTCAACAAAATGTGATTTGGAAGGTTAAGTCATGCTTTTATTTCCTAGCTAATCTGGAAATATCTTATTATTCTATCCTTGAATATGTTTAGAGTCTCAAATCATACTTTTTCTTTTCTCATTCATCTTTGTTGTGCACATCA